CTGCAGGCGTCGGAGTAGGAGTAGTTTGGTTGTTGTTTAATAGGCATTTCTTTAATTGACTGTAGATGTTGCTGTTCCCCACACAGGGGACTGGGCTGTACAGCAGCAGAGCTCAGTGAAGATACACAGATGTAAAGGCCTTCTTCAGAGGCTTCACACCAGCTGTAAAGTCTTACACCAGAGTCATACAGACTATCTGTAAAGAGGATAAAGCCCTGTGAATACAGGAAGCTCTGGAAGCTGTGTTCTACTGATGAAGTTTTTGTAAACAGGAATCCTTTGGGTTTTGTTTTTTTTTTTAATTCTTGCTGCTCCTGTAGCATTACAGATGTCTTCTGGGACTCCTTTTCACTTTATAAGCAAAGCCTGAATTGCTTATTAGTTGTGTGCTTGCCAGGGTGTGGAGTAAAGCAGTAAGCACCTTCACCAAGGATAAATTCTAGTGAGAATTTCATTAGCAGTCCTGACCGTGCTGACAATCCAGAGCCTTGCCCAAGCATGTCTCTCCTGTATTGTGGCTGTCAATGACTTTTTGCCAAGGCTTGTAGTGACAGAACAAGTGGCAGTGGTTTTAAACTGAAAGAGGGTGGATTTAGGCTGGATGTGAGGAAGAAACTTTTTACAATGAGAGTGGTGAGACACTGGAGCAAGTTGCCTGGAGGAGTTGTGGGTGCCTCATCATAGGGAGTCTTGTGAGTTGTGTTGGACAGGGCTTTGAACAACCTGATCTAGTGAAACATGTCCTTGCCCTCAACAGAGGGTTGGACTTGATAATCTTTTAGAGGTGCCTTCCAACCAAAACCATTCTGTGAATGAGTTTTCTTTGTGCTAGCTTGCTCAAAAATTTTCTTGTTCTTGCTTAGCACCTATTACTATGGTTCTGCTTCTCTCTGAATAAATAAAACACAAATTGCTAAGCTTATTTTGTATTTTTTTTTTTTTCAGTAGAGAAAATCATGGAAGGAAGAACATCTTCAAGTCACAGTGGTGTAAGTGTTCCTACAATTTGCAACAATACACTTAGAAGCTGTGGGCATCCTAGGGTGTTCTGGTGGATTTGCCCAACCAAATTACTTCTCCAGTGGTCCAGCTTTTGCTTTGGTGGAGCTCTCTTTCCTGAGAAGCAGTATATTCCAGTAGCAGTCAATAGTGAAGTCTTCTGTTCAACATGTATTAATGCATGATGGGCTTAGTGTTTGATTGCACATAAACAGCATGTTTTCAAGGGTATTTTAAGGCCTAAGCTAACATCTGAAATACTGAGTAGTGCCCAAGTAAGTAGAGCAGCTGTGTAACTGCAAAATATTTAGTTATCTACAGGGATCTGTTCAGAGATTGCTTATGCTAGTGTTTGGTTTTGTTGGTTGTTTTTTGAAATATCCCTATTTGTAGTAGCTTCTAGCAGTGGAAACACTGGTGAAAACAAACTGTAGGCACAGCAACTGGCTTGAGGTAGGGTCAGGACTGTCTAGTGTTTTAGAAATAAGCTGTTTCCAGCACCTTGTTTATGCATTTTCTCTGACCATTGCTCCTACAGGTGGGAACCTTCAGAAAAGTTCTGCTGGTTTAGATGAGGAGGCTGCTAAGTGCATATACACACGTATGTGTTGAGTCAGTCACTTGCTGTTAGGCAAAAGCTGAGGCAACTGCAGACGTTGCACTTGGCGTGGGTACAGACCTCTGTTGGTTACCTCCTGACTCTGTGTTTGTTCCCTAAGTTAATTGTGGGCATTGTAAGCCAACATCTTCTTAATGAGTGCAAGCATTGGGAAGATATTGTATGGTGAGGTGGAAATTTTGCTGGTGAACGTAGCTTGTGCTTTTATCCCTTTCTGCCTGTCCATCTGTCTCTTTCTGTATTCTGAGTCTGATCTTACCTGTTTTTATTGCTGTCTGTTACTGCAGAAGTTATCTGAACCTCTGGAACTTGAAATGCATGTTAAAATGTTAGATAAATGTGTGGAAGCTTGTAACAGAAACTGCTAGTCAGGCAGCAAGTGGAGTTCTGAAGTAAGAAATCTGTACCTGGCTGTTAGGGTGCAGATCAGAGGAATGCATTCTGATTGACAAAACATGTTTATAGGCCACTTCTCATAAAAGAAAAAAAATCAAACTATCTAATAGCAGGTGTTCTTCAAGAAGAAACTGCAGAAGTTATCTGAACCTCTGGAACTTTAAATGCATGTTAAAATGTTAGATAAATGTGTGGAAGCTTGTAACAGAAACTGCTAGTCAGGCAGCAAGTGGAGTTCTGAAGTAAGAAATCTGTACCTGGCTGTTAAGGTGCAGATCAGAGGAATGCATTCTGATTGACAAAACATGTTTATAGGCCACTTCTCATAAGAGAAAAAAATCAAACTATCTAATAGGTGTTCTTGAAGAAGAAATTGTCTGTTTCAATCCTTAAATGTTGATGAGAAGGAAGGAGCTTGTATTGGAAGTGTTGCATGCATGTAACACTTACATCCTTTATAATTTGAGGGATCTGTTATTAAAGGCATATTTGTTGCAGCATTTGACCAGCAAAAGCAGTTTGAAGTCCTGTGTAGAATTGCAGGTCTAGTTACTAAGAAAAGAAGTGAAAATACTTTACTTTTTAGAATTGTAGAGAAGGAATAAGAGCACTTGCAAATCAAACTGAAGAACTAAAGGATTATCTCATTCCAGTGCAGTATGCTTCAGTTATGGTCTGGCTGAAGGACTACCTACAGAGTTAATGAATGCAGTTTCTGTGTTAATTAAGTTATTAGCAGCATTGTTCTAGAGTCCTTACTTGTAATTTTGTGTTACAAGGTAGAGCATGTGGTGGCTTGCAAATTAAGTTCATAATACACTTGACAGTAGCTGCCTGAATGAACTAGTAGGAATTTGAGCATTTTTATCTTTAATTTTTATGAATGAACATTATTTCCTACATTTTTTTTTTTGAATTGGCAAATCTCTGTTAATTGCTAACTCTCTTATCTTTTAATAATTACTTCTGAAACACTGGCTTTATTTTTGTGAAGGCTGGCAGTGTCAATAGCTGATACTATTTTGAGTACATCTTAGTGTATTGATGCTAAATTATCATACCAAAATATTTGTGCTCTTCTAAGATATGATTGTTCTTCATCCTGAATTTATTTTTTTTCTGAGAGAGTGCAAACCTAGTGTGACATTTGCCATGATATGAAGCTATTCTGTTTTCTCTTTATCATTCTCTAAGCTGATATGATTAAACTAGAGTGTAAACAAATAAGAGGGAACTAAGGAAGCTAAGTGCCAGTTAATTGGTTCTTACTATTTGAAGCTGCTGTAAGTTAATGAAACAGGAAAAGCTTTTTCAGACAGTTCATGTAGTAAAACTAGTTCCTCATATGGTATGACACATGATTTGGGATCCTGCATCAGTGAGCTGCATTTAAATTGAAGTCACAGTTCACTGCTGGCCTTGCAACTTTATTTTGCCTGCCAGTTAAGAAAACTCAGTGTGTGGCAGTACATTACATAGAAAACTATGTACATGGCAGAGTGCAGCTCAGCACCTTTGGATAATTTAGTTTTATCATGTGTGTCACATCATCTGTTTTCAGTTTCGTATACCAAAGAAGAAAACAGACACCAGCTCAGAGGATATCCAAGTTCAGTTCCCTTTGGCAAGGCTCCCAGGCTCCCACCATTGGGACTACCCTTTAAAAGAGGTAAAGAGAAGTTCTTTGGAGTGTGAAGTGCATAGGAGGATGTTGTATGAGTTTATGGCTCTGTTCTAGAGGCAGGGTTGTTTTCTATACTGGATTGTCTTGGAAAGAGAGGAGTGAGTAGGTCTGAAATCTGTCTGCAAACATACAGGTACAAAAAAGGAAGTCTTACTGCCTTATTGCCACCCTAAATCATTAAGAACCAGATTTGGTCTTCAGCTGTAGTTTGAAATTATCGTGATAATCATGAATTTAAGGCAAATACCATTTTTTTAGTTGTCTTCTGATTCCTGAGCTTTTAGGTTCTATTCAGATGAAGCACTGGGGTTAAACTGAATGAGAGTTGGCATATGGATGATGCCCACAACCAGGACCTTCCTGATTGGTTTTCACCCAGGGTCTGGACAGACTTGGGTGGGAACTGATGAGGAGATCACCACCAGGTCCCCCCAACTTCCACATTAACTTGGAGGCAGGGCAAGAAGCTACCACTATAAGAACTGACTGCTGGGGGTGCAGTTGGGTGATCTGCCCACACGGTGCCTGTGCTGTGTTGGGTTCTGGCTACTGAAAGGGCTCCTCAACTCTTCACAGCAAGTGGAGCTCCCAGGATGGCAGGGCAAGATGACTGGGCTGATCATCTGGGGTCCTTCCATCTCCTCCGATGGCATGGTCCTGGAGTCAGCGCACTCCCTTCTGCACACCCTGTGCTGGGAGTGGATTGACTTAGTCCTCCCTCTGGTGGTCTGGCATGCTGGGTCACTGGTGGGTGGTTTAAGAGCAGAGGGAGGACTCTGGCTGCTGGTTTGCCTGTTGCTGATAACATCCTTCTTGGTCAGGCAGGTGGTCAGCAGAAGATCAGGTCACTTGCCAGACTTTTTGTTATGATATGGGATAAATCTTTACATGGAGTTTCCAATTAGTCTTTATTTATATCCAAGAGTTTAAACTTTTAAAGAACATATTAAGTATTATCTGATTTCTGACAGAATTTTAGGTGCTAATACAGAAATAACTGGTTTCAGTATTAAGACTGAAAGACTGTGAGAGTACTTGCATGACATTTACCAGAAATCATCTTGATCATCTCAGTCACATATAGAAGAAAATATTTTCTTCTATAAATCTGCTCCAAATTCAGTAAGTTTTTTTTTTTTTTTTCTAAATGTCATGTTTTGGAAGGCTATTTTGCTACTTTTGCCTCCTTCAGCTCAGCATTGTGAGTTTGTTGCTGATTTTAGTGCTTCCAGAATCATGGGGCTGGCCAAACAGGCTCCCCCACAGAGGAATTTATAAAAGCTAGTGAGGGAAGTTTAGGAATTTTTTTGGACTTACAGTAGTGGTGATAACATGTCCCAAGTCTCTTGGCAGACCTAGTCCTTTGAGCATGGTCCAACAGAAGCTCACTGTGTGGTTGTTCTATTCTTGTTAATACTTTAAGTGAGCAGAGCATTTGATTACAGTCAGGTTTTGGAATTGGAAGTGATGTCTTCTGTGGTTACAAGCAGCACTCACTTAGGCAGAGCCAGACAGCACTTGCATGGGATTATTCCTGTCTCTCTGCCACTATAAAAACAGTGATTAGACTGTATGAATTGAAAAATCTTTTTTAAACTTGCTATTTACTTTATATTGTAATTTTCCCACTTCTTATTTTTCCTACCTGTCTATATATTTCAGACTTTTTCATGTGGTAGAGGGCTTCATGTGTTAAACACTGACTAGTCTTTATGTTCTACTTTAAAAGAAAAGGTTGCTCATGTGGTATCATAATTAAAAGGCATATTACTGTTTTCTACATATGAGGGTCTGTCCTAGTTGTATTTAGTGTTGTCAGAGTTTGCTCCATGTTTAAGAAATTTTGTGCAGTTTTCAGTGATTTGGGCATATAGGTTTCTAATATGCTTGAAGACCAGTGCTATGAGGTGAACTAAATGATGTTTGAAGACAGGAGGAGGGGAGAGCACCTTTAAGGTAACTTGCTGCCAGCTGCTTTAATAATGTGACTATTTTCCATTAGAGTTGGCCTGTATGGTAGGATTCATTTGGGATGTACCTTTCAGGCTTTAATAAATGATGTAAAATATTCATTTTATCTGAATTTTCAGATGTCTTTTCACTCTGCTCTTAAAGAGAAGTGAAGTTTGAGTTCAGCCTGAAAATTTTGTGCAGTTTTCAGTGATTTGGGCATATAGGTTTCTAATATGCTTGAAGACCAGTGCTATGAGGTGAACTAAATGATGTTTGAAGACAGGAGGAGGGGAGAGCACCTTTAAGGTAACTTGCTGCCAGCTGCTTTAATAATGTGACTGTTTTCCATTAGAGTTGGCCTGTATGGTAGGATTGATTTGGGATGTACCTTTCAGGCTGTAATAAATGATGTAAAATACTCATTTTACCTGAATTTTTCAGATGTCTTTTCACCCCACGCTTAAACAGCAGTGAAGTTTGAGGTCAGCCTGACTGGCAAAACTTTCAAACATCTGTTTGGTTTATTATCTTCTACATTTTAAAGTGAGGAGAGATTAGGAGGAGGTAATGGTAGAAGGAGATGCAGTTACTTCTGCAGTTCCAGGAACCTGTGTTTTGATGGGTCTTCACTTATTTAATTTGACAGTGTAACTGCATTCTGGTAAGGGAAGAGAATTTGAAAAACATGAGGTATTGCTGTTGTGGGTTTTGCCACCCAAGTACCAAATCTTCAAATTCCATTTCCTTTTCAGAATTCTAGATCTTTGAGTGGAATATACTTTGGTTAAATTTATGTAATTAGAGGTTACCTTATCTATTTCTGATTAGGTAAAACAGGCCTAATATTTAAATCTGTGTGAGATTATTTCCCTGTTTAAAGGGGGACTGAAGAGTCCTGTATTTTCAGATTTCTTTAGGAGAAAGTTCCATTCAAGGTCAGGAGGTGTATGGTGCTTTCAATCAAGCAAATTCATTCTTTGCAAAAGTATTTTATGTACTTGTTATGACTCTGCCTTATATGATCTGTTGCATTATTTCAATGTCTGACATTATTCTCTTTTTACAGTGTGATACCCATTACAATACATATGTCTGTTGGAACTTGTCAATTTTGTTTTATTTCAGTGGAAATTAAGTGCAAACAACAGAAAGCCTTCCACAAAAGGAAAAAGGCAGGAGGACTGTGACAGACCCAGCTCCAATGATGAAGACTCAGTTGGGTAAGAAGTCATCTCAAAATTAGTTCTTCTCTGTTAGTATATTCAGACTTTAATAAGCTTTCTGGAAGATGGGTGTTTGTGGTTTCTAGCTAATGATTTGTTTTGTGGAGATGGTTTCAAGCTGTTAGGTAGCCCACTTGGGAATCATGTTTCAGTGATTTAATGGCAGCTGTAACTTTTTCTTTGCTTTAACACAAGAGAAGACTGACATCAGAACAGGAATGCAATGCTTGCTAGAGGAATTACTGCTTGATGACCTGCTTGGAATCCTGAAAGCTGTTTGTTACTCTCTAAGTGTAAATTATCATTCTAGCCCCTAGGTATTTCAGATGTTTAAGAAGTTTCCAAGATTATCTTTTTGCTTGTCATTTTTTTGCTTGGCAGTCTGCAGTCCTTAACCTGGTTTTATCAGCTCTTCAGAACAAGAAAAGGAAAAACCCAAGCAATACAGTCATTAGTAGGGGAAGGCAGTAAAAAACCAGAGGTTTCACCTCTGTTACAGTCAAGACACTTAAGTAGGTAAATAAGATTGCTGATGTGCCACTTCTTTATGCTCTGTTGCCAAGAGCAAATATCTTGATTCTCTGAGATTATGGCAGATTGTTTAAAATAATTTTCTGTGAAGCTGTCAGCTAGATTATTTATTCAAGAAAATTTTGAAGCTCCAAGTGCCATAGTTGACAAATGGAGATGAAAATGCAGAATTAAGTTCATTAGCAGCAGCTAGGAAGCATGGTGACTTCATGATTAAGTTTAATTATAGTTACCTTCATGAAGCAATTCTTATTCCAGAAATATTCAAATCTAAACAAATGTGGGGCAGAGAATGCCTGCTCTCATTACCTCAAAATGCTTCTCTCAGTAACATTAATTACTGAGGGGGGAGGGGCTTAAGGGTTGACCGAGCAGAACTTAAAAAGTATGTGAAGTGCAGTTTCCTGAGTTTTAATTACTCTGTGAAATGTTTATCTGGTATCAGTCTCTGAAGGTCTTTAAGTAAACTTCAAACTGACTTTCAATGTTGAGAATCTTTAACAGATCCCAAGGTAGCTTTTTTTTTTTTTAACACATGTAATTTTGATACATGACAGACTTTCAAGTAACAGTTTTGGGTGTTCCATTTTCATCAGAATTCTTACTAGTTTATTAGTGAGAAATAATATGTTTGATTATCTGGTATCAGTCTCTGAAGGTCTTTAAGTAAACTTCAAACTGACTTTCAATGTTGAGAATCTTTAACAGATCCCAAGGTAGCTTTTTTTTTTTTTAACACATGTAATTTTGATACATGACAGACTTTCAAGTAACAGTTTTGGGTGTTCCAGCATTTTCACCAGAATCCTTACTAGTATATTAGAAATAATTAGGCTGTAAATAGAGTAAATGTTCAGATATTAAACTATGCATTTTTCATTTTCTCAAAACCACACGTCTCTTTAGAGACTAGCTGGAGGTTCTGTGTAAAATAAAATTCATCTACTGCCTGCAGGAAAGCTTTTTCTAAGCATTCCACTTGAGTACCAAGTGTTTCTCAGTATTGAGCTTGTTGCATGTTAAGTTTTAGAGCACACAAGTTCTTAATAGGTGATGTTATCTCTTGAGGTTTTAAAACCAGTCTTTATTGATAGGAGCTAATCTCAAATATATAGGGAGGCATGTTTCATCTGAAGTGTTGCTTGAGCACTGTTATTGCCACTTTAATTTTAGTCAGAAGGGACAAAGTGGATGTATTGGCACAAACCCACCTTCACTTGTGTCTTAAACTGAAGTTCTGGATCACAAAATTTGGTAGTCAGTTCCTTCTGTCAGCCCTGCCACTATGTGAGACCATGGAGACTGGAAGCAGCAAGCACAGCTGCTCTCCCCTGAACACATCTGCTTGTGGACATGTGAAAGGTCCTTGTCAGGTGATTTATTTGTGATCACAGGCAGGTCACTGGTCCTTCTCACATGCTGGGGGTCTCCTGTATATTCCCATGGCTGTCACAAAACAGAATAAGACTTAGGAAATATGAGCAGTTCAATTTATTAGTGTCATTGCAGAAAGTTAGATATGGTATTCGTGTGATTGATCAATTAATGTTTTGTATCACACTTATGAAACTTTTTTTATTGTCAGGGAAGCAGATAACACTATTTCAAGGGTAGCTATTGCCACCTACAGACATCTACTTATTTCACCTGTACTACTCCTGCATTCTCTCAAGCAGGAAATAGAGGGAAATGAGAAGGAAACAAACCAAAAAGAAACAAAGTAGAGCACTGAAATTCAAGCTTCTCATCCTGGTCTGCCAGGCTTTATTTAGGAGGAGTACTTAAATAAGATGTATGTGATTCAGCTTGGTATTTTAAATGTTAATGGCAATGTGTCACAGCTGAATCAGGTACTGACCCCATAGCAGTCAGGGTTCTGTGGCAATCTTTTGCATACTGGTTCCTCTTGCCCTGACAAGTGCGCTTTGGCAGTAATACCTTCCTGGTCCAGAAAAGCAAGGAGGTTAGTGTGACTTCTCACCAGCTAATGGAAGGTCAGGGCCTTGAGCCTGGAAATAGCAGGAGGATGCCAGAGGGAGGATTTCTGCTCAGCAGTCAGTGAAGGTGGCAGTGAGCTTCACATTAAAGGTAGTATATCTTGTTACTCCACTGGGCTCTGGAAGGCCAAGGACCTCCTGAGCTGTGCACATGCTGCAGAAACTCAGATAGCTGAATACACATCAAGTCTTTTGGTAGCTTTATTCTGTAAAGCCAGGACAGATACTCAGCTTTTATGAGACCTGATGTGGTGACCCTTGTGTGGTATGTGGCATCCCTCTGTCAAGATATCTACTTCCCAAAACTTGAAGTTTCTAGTAGAAGAATGTAGGTGTGAAGATGATGGTGTAGGCAATTTATTCCTTAGAGTCAGTAGCCTTCAAGCCTCCTTTTGACCACTTCCTAAATTTTTGAACAAATTTGAGGCAGTGGTTGCAACACAGATGTGCACACAAATGTGACCATTGGGAAAGGAAGTGCTTCTAACAGTTCTGACTGTTGAGTGAAATAGACATCAGATGTTTTCCCCACAGGCATACTAACAATGAGTAGCTTTTGATCCTGTGCTTTGTAAGGTAGGATAATAAATTTTTTTGCCTGTGAAAAGTGATGTGAGACTTGTCAGGGGCAGCTAAAAGCATATTTTTTTTTTTATCTGTTCCATCCTTACATGTGTAAGTATGTTTCCATTACCTTTGTTTATTTTTCCTGTTTTGTGGAGGTAGGTAATGGGGGGCAGGGTAGGTGCTTCCTGTAGAAACAAAAATAATTGCCTTTGGTTTTCCATCACCAAGATGCCTCCAGTCTTGTTGTGCAGGTTGCTTGCTGGGTGGACTTGCTTTTAATGTATACTTTGCTTGCTTTTTCTTCTGCTTGAAACTGTTCTTTCTTTTGAAATTTCTTTTGCATGACTTGCTTGCTTTACTCTGTGGACAATTTAACACACAACTTAGGGTTCTGTGTACCAACCATCATTTACAGATGTACAGGCTGGCTTTAGGTATAGATGTTTTTCCTGAATCTATTTTATGCCCAGTGTTAATGACATGATTTTTTGAGAAATGCTGCCAGATGCCATTCCTCCTCCAGAAAGGGGAAGCCCCAGAAAGCTCTGATCCTACTGTACAGCTCTGAAGATCAGGTCATAATCAGTTGTCCTATCAATGTATTTATTCAGAAGTTGTTGCCACATAAGAAGTGATACCTTAACCTGGCTGACACTATCAGGAATAGCCAAATGTTTTCTTCCTTGTTTATTGAAGGTTCATCTCTTTTGCACAGATTGCAATGAAAACTGAAATAATTTAGATCTGGGAAATAGACTTTTAGGCTCAGCGTGTTTCTAGTCAGGACAACTGAAGTGTTCCATAGAGAATGACACATTTGTGTTGTCTCTTGATGCTGTACAGTAATGATTTTAAAGCATTTTTACATTTTCTTTTTAAGGAGAAACAATTTCTGATTCACATCTTCATATTGCTGGGGCCCACTTTTGCAACTGCTTTGTGTTTGTAGGAGAAATGCCATTTAGATGCTTAAAGGTTTGATTTGTAATTTCAAACCTTCTTCAAAAAGTCCTGTTAGAAGAAGACAGGAATTATCTGGATTAGTCTGAAATGTACATATTCTTTATTTCCTTACATTTTACTTATGTATTTGTTATTTCTAATATACCTTAATTAGACAAACAACAAATGATGTATAAATCTGGTCACTGTAAACTCTTCTGACATATTAAACTGTGGTTAATGTATCAACACTAAACATTTGAGAAGCCCAGAAAAAATCTAGAACATCTGACTTAGTGAGCATTTGATAGAAATAGGTCCTAGAAAATAGGTCCCTTCTTTCTAAGCTCCACCAAGAACACTTTGCAGGCCTGGTGTGTGCTCACTAAGCTGCTGCAGTTGGACTCCACCATGTAAGACATCAATGTTACTAAAGGTTCCCTTATGCCCTGTATTTACTTCCTAAGCTTTTCAGCATTTGTTAAATGAAACTCCAGTCTCTGTAAGCTTGGAGTGGAGAACAAATTTTATTTAGGTCTACAGTATTCAAAGCATGTCCTCAGACTCTGTAGTAAGTTCTTAAACCCAACAGCTCTTTCCATTAGTAGTCCCAGGATACACAAGTCTAGATAAAAGGACAAATGTATACCTGCCTTTTCCTCACTCTGTCTCAAACAGCCTGGAGCACTTCTGTGGTTTTGGTCTTCTGATGAGACTGTCTTTATACATGTAACTTCTTGTTGCCTTCATGCAGTCAACCTCTTAATTCAGAACCCCTGGATTGTTTTTCCAGTGGCTGAGTAGGACCAGTCCCTTACACAGCACTTTCTCCTCTGTCCAGATTGTTCCCATCACAGTGCCTTAACTTAGGGTTTGTTTTTGTAATCCTTCAGGGTTTTGGTGGGTGTTGGTTTGTTTGTTTTGAGACCAAGCTTTAGATCTTTACCACTGAGTTTTTCTTTGGAAAACTTCAAAGAGAAGCCTGAAGAGTAGAAGAAACTGCCTTCACTTCAGCTTACCTTACTTAGCATTGAATGGGAGCCATTTAGATTTATTGTCCAGACAGTGTTCTCTAAGGTGTGGTGTGTGCAAGACCATCCACTGGGGTGCAGGAAGGAAATATTTTTTGGTAAAATTAATAAATAAAATATTTCTTTATTGCGTCCTTTTTAAAATGTCTGTGTTTTGTAATGTACATAATATCAGTACTTTAGTACATCTGTATAAATCATAATTAAACATATTAAAGGTACATGCTCAAAACATTTCTACTGATGGAGGTGCATGATCAAAAAAAACGCCAATACACATTGTGGCATTCAGTAACAGAGACCTCATGAGATTGACCAGGGTTCATAGTGTATCTGCAGAGTCTCCAAGCTGTGTGTAGGAGGAGCCTTACTGTCTTTTCAAGTTCCATGAGGACTCATGGGGCTTCTTAACATGGTAAATAACCAGGGAAGAGAAATCTCAACATGCAGCAGCTACTAAAGGAGTAAAATACAAGGATTATGTGAAATATCTTCCCCAAGTTCAGCGTGCTTCACTGGCATGGCAGTTCCAGATCTCTTTTTAGGCTCAGGTGTATGTTGTGTGTAGGAGGAGCCTTACTGTCTTTCCAAGTTCCATGAGGACTCATGGGTCTTCTTAACATGGTAAATAACCAAGGAAAAGAAATCTCAACGTGCAGCAGCTAGTAAAGAAGTAAAATACAAGGATTATGTGAAACATCTTCCCCAAGTTCAGCATGATTCACTGGCGTGGCAATTCCAGATCTTTTTAGGCTCAGGTGTATGCTCTTCAGCAGTTTTTATGCCATGCCTATATTTCTTTACCACTAGGTACCACGTAACCATGCAGTTGAGCTCAGTGGGATAACTATAATTTCCTAAACTTATCAGCCTGCTGAGGAATAGCAGCCATTTGCTTAAGAAATGTCACTGTAGCCTGCATGTAACATCTATGTGAGTAATACAAGATTTTCTGTAGCCATAAAAAGGATCTGTGCTCTAAAACTTGAACAATTTCATTTGTTGCAGGAGACATGCAACAGAAAAAGCAGTTCTTGCCTCAGTAATCTTTTAAAAGTAACAAATGAACCTGAACATCAGTATCCTTTTAGGACCAGTACTGGGAAAACAGGTCCAATTCTCATCTGTTCAAAAATAAATGTTGATGAATCATCTATTACTTATAGTGCTTATTAGCTTATAAGGAAACTGTCCAAATTACTGGCCATGCTGCAGAATTAACTCTTCATGAAGTCTTCAGTACTGACATGGAAGAACTGGTGAAGTATAGATAACCTGTTTAAAGAAATTCAATAGGAAGTTTTTAATTATATGTCATTTCTTTAGTAAAATGGAATAGGAATCAGCTGAAGCTTTGAAACAGAGGTTTTACTAGCTTTTTGACTACTTTTTCCCCAGCGAGTTCTTAGCCTAATTTGTGACAATGGGAACCAACAGTATTCATGGTTCTAATAAGGTGCCACAATAAGTGCTTGTTCTGTCCTGCAGATGCTCAAGTATATACTTTCAGAACAGTTTGTAAGGCCAGAGTGACACTCCTTCCAATATTTTGTGACAAAAAGGTCCTCCAAAATTTTCCTGCTCCTACATAGGAAGTTTAGCTCTTCAGAATCACATACAGATGCTAGTCATTGATACTAGAAGAAGAAACCTTGAAAGGCTGTCCTGATCCAGAGATGTATTTGTGTGTTTGGGATTCCTCTTCTCCAAAGGGAACCATTTTGTAAGTTGTCAGGGAAATGAACTTAATTCTACTGAAGATAGAAGGTGGTAAACTTGTAGAAAAGCTTTGTTGAATTCAAGTGACTTAAGAAGTTCTCAGCACCCTATTATTCACTTATTATTATATATATGGCAGGCAACCCAAAGTTATCTTGACGAATGTCCTGATGATGAAAATAGGAAGAAAATACACACAGATGCAACCTAAAACTCATGCTAATTTTTCTGCTGCTGGCAAGCTGCATTCAGACCAAGCACCCTCCTCATCTGCTGCCAGCCTAAAGATACGGCAGATTTTAAACCCTACTCTCCAAAGCCTTTTTCTGTCTAAAAGGTATGTTGTCTTCACCTTGTGTAACTAAACACAATATTTTTTCCTTGCAGTTTTTTCATGAGAAACTATTTGTTGTACCACAGCTGTCTCGTTCATGAACTATGTCCTCATTCTCATGTCATCTGACTTGATTGAATTCCCTTGTACCTGGTTTCTGCTGATAATCATAGAGAGATATGGTGCCAGACATGCTGTAGTGGGTTTTCTGATCAGATGACTTCTGATGGTCCTGTTCTGATTAGACCAATTAACTCTGATTCAGCCATTGGTCTCTCAGAATGTTTGGGTTATTTTTTACTGTGAAGAGAGTGCACTTGCACTAAACTGCTCTTTTCTCAGAGAAGGTACCAAGGAGTATTTTCACTGTTACTGTTTCAGACTACTCATGAAAATGGGAGAACTGCCATAAAGAGTCAGGAGAAAAGCATATCTAGCACAATATTCTTCCCCTCATCCAGCAGTGACTGGTTGCAGATACCCAGGGAAAAGTATGGCTGGAGAGAATGCTTTTTGCACTGAGTTTTCTCTCTGAGTTTCTGATTCTAAACAATTTAGGGACATCCTTTACTGGAGGTTACACCCAGACTACAGTGTTCTTCTGTATGAGACTTCTCTCAGCCTTATGCTCACTGCTTATCACCCACGTGCCTCTGCAGCACCTTGTCTGTAAGGCAGTCTCTTGATTAAAAAGCAAATTTACATCTCATTATGCAGTCAATACCCAAAAGGCAACATTGTTCCTAACAGGTTCAAAAAAACCCATGACATTGCATACTAATCCAAAATAAATTGCAGTAGAAGGGGTAGAATTTAAATCCCATTTTGAGAAACTCAGGGGGTAAATCAAGGGCTATACAACAAGCTGACTGCAGTGGCATCATAGGAAATAAGTTGTGCTGCTCTTACACTTGTGTGCTCAAGGGGACAGTTGCATCTTTGTGTTTCTCATTAGCTTATTTTTGATGCTTGTCTCTTCTAACACTTGCAGATGTTTTTCTGAGCTATTGCTATTCTCTAGAATGCCACCTGGAAGTTGAGGAGGGGAAAAAAAATCTAATGCTGCCTTTGTTTATTTGCTGCTTTTCTACCTGCTGAATTAGTGCTTGAAAAAAAAATCAGCTTGTTTTACTGGAGGCTTCTTGATCACAGGAAAACCAAGATTGTTTGCTCCATAGTTCTGAGAAATGTGTACAGATACTGCATGAAAACTATTTAGAGAGAAACATTTACAGTTTTTAAACAGTACTTAGGTGATGTGTTAGAGGCAATGCAGTGTGAATTTTATCTGATTAAAATGAAATTATATGCCTAGCATTTTTTACCCTTGTCTCTTGTTGCTTTCTTGTGTTTATCTGCTTACCTTAGATTTTTTAAGTTCCTTAGTGGGATTCTGTTTGTCTCTGAGAGACTGAAAGTAATGAGATTTGATGATTATCAAGCCTTTAAGATACATGAATTTAACAAGAAGCTTTTCCTCTAGATTTCAGTGTAGTATTTATGATTTACTGTTATATATATGGCAGGCAACCCAAAGTTATCTTGACGAATGTCCTGAGGACGAAAATTGGAAGAAAATACATAGACAGCCACGTAATAATTGATGCAAATTTATCTGATGCTGACAAATTACAACTCCCCTCATCATCTGTTGCCAGCCTGCAGACATGTCAAATAATATGCTCTCCTCATGAAAGTTCTTTTCTGTCTGAAAGGTATGTTACTCACTGCTGATTTTGCTAGTCTTCCTTGAAATGACATAATTTCACAATGGGAAAGAAATACCCTGCAACAATTTTTGTTATACTCTTGTCTTGAAGCAGGAGATCAGTTTGCTGAGTGCAAACTAACACACAGCTCCAATGAGCCATTTTAATGTTGCATTTATTCCAGTTTGCTGTACTTGATGTTAATTGATTGCTGCTCTTCTGTAGAAGGAATTTCCATTTGCAGTAGATCAGTGTTACAACTTGTGAAGATGGCCAAGTAATTCAAACACATTTAAGTTGGTTTTGTGTCCAGACCAAAAAATCTTGCTTTCTTGTTTCTATTAACATGTTCTAGCATGATTTTAAGTAACTTCTTTTGCACAATCTCTCCAAATTCTTCTCTGTGATGGTTCAGTTTCTTTTCATGTTAATCCACTAGTGGTCTCAATCTCAACAGAGTGCTGTTGTTTGAGGGCTTTGTATGTATCTTCTCATTGCTTAACATCTACTTTTTTCCTCTTTTCCTCCTGCATTTAGGTTGACTGAGCATCACAATAACTCTTGGCATACAAAAGTAGCAGAAATCAGAAATTAGAATTATGTAAGATGGCAGTTAAATTCAGAGTAAGCTGTTTCCTCTTGTCTTTTATGCTCATATGCTGCCTCTTTGCTCAGCAGCAAACTATCCACAGGAACAAATAGCAAGAAATTTGGAGGATGGAAATAGAAAGAGAAGGGAAGAGAAGAATGATTTGTGAGAGCAGGAGTAATCAACAGCTCCAAAGTTAAAGAAATCTTAAAAATTCTTGAGAAAAGTGAGTCATTTCTCATTCTGCTACATGGGCATCTTGGAGAACCTATATTAGTGAGAATTCCTTTTTCTGTGGGGATCCTTGTTGCTGCTTAAATTGATCTGACCAATCTGCAATTTAAATGAGGGATTTACAACAGTTTGTGATTGTCTCATTTGAGAAGTGTTAGAGTTGTTGCTAATAAATGGTTTTCCAGAACTTTAGGCTGACTTAAAGTGTGGAGAGTTTGTCTGGATTTTTTGGTTTTGGGGTTGTTTTGTTGTGTGGGTTTCTTTTTAGTAAAAATCTTTAAGATCTGTAATGTTTAATATCCTGTTTTTCCATTTGGTATTGTTTTGGAAGATGGGAGGTAGTGGGCTCATAGAGAGGAAAATGTGAACCCTTGTATGTAACTCCTTAAATCTGAGGAAACATCTTGTGTATATTTTTTCAAGCTCGTATCTGGAGGGTGGCTGTTGAGTTGTGTTAAGAATAAGAGTGATTTGAACTAGTTGTTTGGTTTTTTTTGTACTTGGTGTACTCAGCTTGCTTTAGGTTTGGAGTGGTTTGTTGTTTGAAGGATGAATATTCCGTTCCTGTGATCTGATTTTTCTAATTTATCAAGTAAAAGGCTTCTGATTAGCAAGAACCAACTTTAGGAGGATTTTCCATCTATTCCCAGTGATCAGCAAGTTTGTGCAAGTTGTAATAGATATCACACAGGAAATGGAGAATTTAGGAGTCACTTCAACAAAGGTGTGGTTTGGTGCTGGTCACCTCTCCAACAAAGGTCTATGCATAAAATACACTTGCCATGGATTCTTCTGGGGTTTCTTCTTTCAGAAGAGAGCAAAGGCTTTAGGTCACTGCTGACCTATCAGTATAACTAATGAATTTGAGGTAGGTTTTTAAATGTAAAGGAACTTAGGATTTTAAAGGTTGTTTTGTACTTGTTTCTTATGGCTATTAAGAACCAGCTCCAGCTCTGGAGCCTTCAACACAGGAGAAATATGGATATGTTGGAGTGGGTCTAGAGGAGGGCCACAAAAATGATCAGAGGGCTGGAGCACCTCTCCTACAAGGCCAGGCTGGGAGAGCTGGGGTTGTTCAGCCTGGAGAAGAGAAGGCTCTGGGGAGCCCTTATGATGGCCTTCCAGTACCTGAAGTGGGCCTACAGGAAAGCTGGGGCAGGACTGTTTGCAAGGGTGTGTAGTGGTAGGTGATGGGACAATGGTTTTGAACTCGAGCAGGGTAGATTTCGATTAGACATTAGCTCATTACTATGAGAGTGGTGAAACACTGGAACAGGCTGCCCAAAGAGGTCATGGAGGCCCCATCTGTAGAGACATTCAAGGCTGGGCTTGATGGAGCTCTGAGCAACCTGATCTAGTTGGGGTTGTCCCTGTTTACTGCAGGAGTTTGGACTAGATGACCTTTAAAGGTCCCTTCCAGCTCAAAGCATTCTATTATTTTATGAATGCTTCAGTATATACTGCCTTAACTTCTTAGGTTATACATGTGTCTGCCACTTTAAAATGAGTTATCAGTGAAGATTTGAAGTGTGGCTCTTATGCATACAAATATTTAAGTTGAGAGAGAGTGTGGCTTCCAAAATCAGCTTTTGTAGTGAGGTTATTCCAGAACTACAGCTGCCTGATCCATGGAAGACTCTGCCTTGTTCAATACACAGAATGAATAACAGCACTTACTGAACACTTTTTCTGTATATGGTCCAGTTCATGATTCTTTGTGAATGGAAAGATAATCAGTAATTTCTTCAGTGCTTATCTACTATTTATCACCATAGTATCAGAGCACTCTGGAAATTGTCTTTACAGTGTTCCCAAAGAACAATGATACTTTCTGATCTCCAGATATGTCACTGAAGAATAGACATCTGTTCAGAAAGTGTCCAACAGTTTTGGCTGTCCAGTTAGAGATGTCAAGACTGTTTTTTCTCATGGTTGGTGATGTTCTTCATGAGTCTGTGCTCAGCTGGCAGTGATTTCAGTCATTGTGATGCTCTCTTAGCTCTTTGCAAGTTGGAGACTGCAACATTCTGAGGCACATTATAAACCAATGAACACAAAATCCCTTTGGATTAAGCTGAGGTGACAAGAGGAGGAATGGAACAGATTCCCCAGAGCAGCATTCAATTGCTTTAGCTGTGAAATTTTATTTTCTTTTTTGTGTTTTTTTTTTTTTCAACTCTCACAGAAAATGAAGCAGAGGTTGTGAAGGTTAGTTTCTTTTATCTTACAAACCTGAGGAATTTTCAGAAGAGAAGTCTTCTGCACTGAACATAATTAAGTTAATGTGAGGAAAATAACTGCTGTTCTAATGCAGACACTGGAAACCAAAATCCAGTTGTACAGAGTCTTGCCAGCTGTAACTAGCCTCCAGAGAAACTGAGGGTATGTTTACAAGATCAGGCCTCAAATGTGAGGTAGCCATGCTCTTCAGTCTTTCAGTACCTCCTGAATACATTGTCTTATTTATTAAAAAGATTATAAAATTTAAAAACCACACCAGTTTCCTGCACATCCTTCTTTTTAGAGTGAAACTAGAAACTCAACTGAACCTAGTTTCTCTCACTGAAACCCTTTTCTGCTTATTCCTCAAGTTTCTCTCACTGAAACCCTTTTCTGTTTATTCCTCACATCCTGTCCCGTTCACCTCCTTCAGAGTTACTGTTTCAGGCCCTTTTGAACAGGAATTTGTTTCAAATCTTTTCTCTTTGCAGGAAGTTACTCAGTGGATTCTATTAGTAGTTCTAAATGTAAATTAAAAGTACACTGTTGCCTCCTTCCCACCACATTCATGACAAAGGCAAGAATACACTCGATGGACTGTTGCACTCTCTTTTTTTTCTTGTTATGTGTTCTTACTGCAGTCGTGCTTGACAGCAAAATAGTATTTCAGTGTCTGATGTCAAGCATATCAGATTTTCATCCTTTGTGCCTTTTAGAAGCATCCATTTCATTCATATTGTTAGAGTATCTCTGTGTTTCCACAGTGGGAACCGAGTTAGGTTTCTGTTTCATATGCCAAGCTCACGTGCTTATGATGGAGGCAGAAGTCTGTGCCTCTTATTTTTCAAAAATACAGATAAGTCATAGCTAATATTCTTTACAGGTCTGACCATTGCCTGAGAAAGACAGAGGATGGTCTGTGTAACTTGACCAAGGCTTCCAAGGAACCAGAAAAAAATAATGTCTTCACTTTAAGAAGACGGGAGCTGCAGAAGAAAGGTTTGTAGTGAGCAATGATCTGGCATTTCAATATAAATTTTGGAGACTGTTGGGAAATTTTTCTTTTTTTTAGTCTAGTACTATGAGGAGAGCACAGAAATAAAATAGACATTGCGTGGACTGGGTGTATTTTCTCCAAATGCAGGTTTTTTACAGATAGAGTAGAAATATCAAATAGCTGCTTTGTAGCTCAGAATAAAGCTTTAGTGAATCAGACCTGTGAAAGGAAAAAGTGGGGAAGGGAGAGCCTCACTGCACCAGTATAATCCTGATTTTATAAAATGGCTTTTATACTCGAGTGTAACATGTTAAGAGTGCTCAAATGGTTTGTAAAAGCTGCTAGAATGTTTACACTCTATGACAATATTTGTATTTACTGCTGAAAAATAATAAGCTCTACACAGAGTCTCCAGGGAGAACGTATTATCTTTCTTTTAATACTGGTTAATATTTGCAGATTAGAACAGGAAATGGAGACTATTGCATCCAGCAGAAGACAAAAGAAAGGATGTGAGTGTGGAGTGCTAGTTCTTACTGGGAAGAGAGCTATCAATTTGGTTATACCATTATCCTAACTTACTGTTCAATAACTATCTTTCCTTAATTATTTTAGGGGTTATATCTTGGCAGCCACATACAATCAAAAGGAAAGAACTATCATGGAAGGTTTCTGCTTCCATGCATTTTATTTAAGGCATGAAAGACATGAAGAAATACAAAGTTTAAGGAGAACCCATTAAATCACTTTGTTTTTTTTCTGACACAGAGAACAAGAACTGTGATGAACTGGAAAAGAGGAGCAGAAACATGAGAAGCACCACTCTTAGTCAGAAGGAATTGGGCTCATGTGATTCTGAGAAGAGGAAAAGAAGATCCAGTGGCCATATTTCTGATGATTGTAATACACACATTCCAGAAAAATCACTTCTGCTGTCTGTAAGTTGCACTTAATTTTAATGTAGTGTTTGTGTACACACGTGCACACACATTTCAGTAGCAGCAGAAGCAACATCCAAATGGAAGGAATCACTCTAGTAAGTAGGGTGTGTAGGGATACTGTTACACCTATTTCATAGGTGTGTTGTGAGTTTGGCTAGGGTAGGGTTCATGTTCACCAGCAGATGGGAGGGAGGGGCCACAGCCCCTCAAGGCAAAGTCTTCAAGGACTTCAAGGCAAAATTTACAGAGTATACCTGGGGTTATTGAAATCTTGCAGATGTCATATTTTTCCTTACTCCTCAGTCTGTTGTACTGTTCCCTGAAGTTTTAGTTTTATCTGTCATTAAGATTTAGAAAAAAAACCCCAACAAACAACCCACAACAAAACCAAACAAACCCCCAAAACAACCAAACAAAATACTAAACATCCCCCCCAACCAAAACCCAAACCAAAGACCCCAAGGGAATCAGTCAGTCAAGTACAAACTGATTTCTATTCAAGCATTTGAATACAATAAAGGCATCTCTGTAATCTTATGGTTAAAACCCCACTGGTCTTAATGGCAGCAGGTAGTTGCAGAGTCTTTCCACCCAGCTGACCAAGCCACACTTTTGCAAAGTAATGAACATCACTAGTGCTTGATCTTCATGTCAGACAGTGAGAGACTTTTAAAAGTTTGTCCCTCATGCCTTCATGTAATAACCTTTGGAATATGAGGAGGGAGAAATTTCCCTGATTTGAGCTCTAAATGCACCTGCATGAGCTAGAAAATATAGTTGTAGCTTAATAGTTAAGTCTCAGTGATCACTGATCTGAACCATCATAGCAATGTCAAGAAATAAAGATGTATTATTCTTTCTCTACTTTGTTTTCTAGGAAGGGCAAAGATTGAGGTCAACTCATTCTCCTGGCCTCAGAACACCCTGTGAGGACCAACAGAGTCACAGATCTAATACAGTTCTGGATTGTGTCCTGCAGCCATTGGAGAGAGACTGTAAAGACTCTTCCACCCACAACCACTTAAGGCCTGCTCACAGGGGCACAGAAGAACCCAGCTCAGAGTCTCCTTCCAGAATTTTGTCAGAGAAACAGCTCTCTGCCCCTGTGGAGGAGAGGATTCCAGCACGAGTCAGTACCATCAGGAGGCTGCAGGGGGAGGTGCCACAGCACCCGAGCCAGCTGGGGAACAGAAGCTGCAGGGGTAATCGGCAACTTGTTTCAGTTGACCCAAGTATGTACTGTGTCTGTGCTGCTGGTGGTTGCTACTGGTGTGCTTAGCTACCCAGGAGAACTCCTGCCTGACTGCCTATTTGAAACATAGGAAATTAGAGGTTGAGGATAGAGATGGTGTTGTTTGTAATCCATTGTGCAGGTTAGCAGTGGGTGACTAGTGCCAGTGTCCTCTACTGGGTCTTGTGTTTGAGAAACAGGACTTCAGGAGGCAAATCTTACAGGCACAGGTCATCCCTGTGTCCCAAAAGAGGGGCAGACAGGGAAGAAGATGGGCCTGGATGAATTCAGAGCTTTGGCTGGAAGTTAGGAACAGGAGGAGAGTCTGTAGCCTTTGGAAAAGGGGGTGGGCCACTGGGGAGGGCTACAAGGATGTGGTGAGGACATGTAGGGACAAAATTAGATGGGCCAAAGCCCAGCTAGAGCTTAATCTGGCTATTGCTGTAAAAGAAAACAAACAGTTCTGTAAATACATTAACAGTAAAAGGAGGATTAGGGAGAATCTTCATCCTTTACTGGATGCAGGGGGAAGCATAGCAACTGAGGGCAAGGAAAAGCCTGAGGTACTGAATGCCTTCTTTGCCTCAGTCTTTAATAACAGGACTAGCTGCTTGCTGGGTAGCCAGCCCCTTGAAGCTGGAGGTCAGGGATGGGGAACAGGAGGTGGCCTTCATCACAGAAGAGAAAATTGTTAGTCATCTACTGCACCACCTAGACATACACAAATCTATGGGGCCAGGTGGGTTCCATCCAAGGGTGCTGAGGGAGATGCACTTACTAAGCCATCCTCATGATTTACCAGCAGTCCTGGCTAAATGGGGAGGTCCCAGTGGACTGGAAGATGGCTAATGGGGCACCCAGTTACAAGAAGGGCAGGAAGGAAGGGCCCAGGAACTACAGAGCTGTCAGTCTGACCTCAGTGCCAGGGAAGGTCATGGGGCAGGTCATCTTAAGTGCCACAATGCCACACTTACAGGGTAGCCAGGCCACCAGGCACAGTCAGCATGGGTTCATGAAGGGCAGGTCCTGCTTAACAAACCTCATCTTCTATGACAAGGTGACCTGCTGGGTGGGTGAGGGAAAGGCTGTGGGTGTTCATCTTGACTTCAGTAAGGCCTTTGGTGCTGTGTCCCACAGCATTCCCATCACACAACTGGCTGCCCTGGGCCTAGCTGGGGGCACACTGTCTGGATGGCTGGGCCCAGAGAGTGGTGGGGAATGGAGTTAAGTCTGGTGGGGGCTGGCCACAAGCAGTGTTCCCCAAGGCTAAGTGCTGGGGTTGCTCCTCTGTAACATCTTTATCAATGATCTGGATGAGGAGATTGAGAGTACCTTCAATAAGTGTGCAGAGGACACTAGGTTAGGTGGGTGTGTTGATCTCTTGAGGGTAGGGAGGCCCTTCAGAGGGGCCTGGACAGGCTGGACCCATGGGCTGTGGTGAGTTGTGTGAGCCCAACCCCATGCACAGCTCTAGACCTGCGGAGGAGTGGCTGGAAAGCTGCTGGGCAGAAAGGGACCTGGGGGTGTTGATGGACAGCCAGCTGAACAGGAGCCACCAGTGTGCCCTGGTGGCCAAGAAGGCCAATGGCTTCCAGGCTTGTACTAGGAGTAGTGTGGTCAGCAAGACTAGAGAAGTGATCATCCCCCTGTACTTGGCACTGGTGAGGCCACACCTTGAGTTCAGTTTTGGGCACCACAGTAGAAGGATATTGAGGTTCTGGAGAGGGTGCAGAGGAGGGCAACAAAGGTGGTGAAGGGTCTTGAGGGTAACTGTTATGAGGAGCAGCTGAGGGAACTGGGGTTGTTTAGCCTGAAGAAGGGGAGGCTGAGGGGAGACCTTATCACTCTCTAAAACTACCTGAAAGGAGGCTGTAGTGAGATGGGTGGTGGCCTCTTCTTACATTCCACAGCTGACAGGGCAAGAGGAAATGGCATTAAGTTACACCAGGGGAGGTTTAGTTTAGACATTAGGAAGAACTTCTACACCAAAAGGGTTATCAAGGACTGGAACAGGCTTCCCAGGGAAGTGGTTGAATCACCATCCACAGATGTATTTAAAAGCAGCCTAGATGGGGTGCTCAGGGATATGGTGTAGAAGTGGCCTGGCAGAGATACATAATGGTTGGACTTGATCTTAAAGGTGCTTTCCAACCATAGCAACTCAGTGATTCTGTAATTTTCAAATTCCAGTCCTTATTCTGCAGCTGAATTTGTGGCTATGGAAAATCAAGCTTGTACTCTTTAGACTGAAGAAATACTCTTCTTTGAAGCAGGTGTGTTGTGGCCTGTTTCTTTTAATAGCCCAATAATCTTGAGGCTCTTGGGTAGAAAGTGTTAATAAAGTTCCAAAGCAGTGCTTGTTGCACACACTTTCATGCACATAGACCTTGACTGGTTTGGGCATTGTACTTTGATACTACCTGCTGCAAGAGAGAACTCTGCTCATTTGAAATCCACAATGAATGCAATATTCTCAAGTCTGCATCTTGTAGTTTACATACACTTCTTATTTCCTCTTCAGTTGTCCTCTCCAGTGATGATGAAGATGGATCTTCTGAGCCAAAATACACAGAGCTGCTGCAGGATAATATTGACAGTGAAGAAGCAGACCAAGAGTCTGACGTGTGTTCCTCACCAAAGCCATTGGAAGACAAGATGGAAAGTGACACAGAGCAGGTAGTCTGGTTTTTGGCCTACATGTTGTTAGGCCAACCCTTTATTTTTCCAGTATTTATTTTTTCTTGCACATTAGGACAAAAGTGAAGTGCTTAAAGCAGATGTGGTTAGTCCCAGCAGTAAGCAGTCACTGCAGTACTTTATCTCACAGATAGACTTCTGGACAGTCTTCAGAGAAGATCTGTGGCTTGGAAGTTCAAGTGTTTTTTGTAATCTACAATGTATTTTGAAAATAATCATTTGGAAATGCTCAATGTTACAAAATAAAAAGGATCAAATAGTAACCTGAGTTAGAGGTAGATGTGATGAAGATTTGTATGTGATTTTTTTTTTTCACAGTGTTTTATATCAATTGTTCAGGTCAGTAGTTTCTTCTTGTCATCCAGCCCTCTTTGTAATTCAGTGCCTGGAAGAGTTTAGTCATCTTTGTTGACAGCAGAGAGAGAGAGGGTAGAGTGCCCTTTCCTGTGTGGCTAGCAGCAGAATTTGAATCTAAAACTAACTATAAATGTTTTTGCTCCATTTTGGGCTTCATTAACTTCTTGCTGCTTGTGTTGACTTGGATTTGGGTTATTTGTGTAGTCCTGAAACAAATCAGAAGAGCCATTGCTGCATCTGCTCACAGATGCATAATTTTGATCTTAAGCATTGAGGTGGATCCTGTACCTTTGATATCAAGAGGGGTATTTCTTGTTGCTCTACTGTTTTCAGTTTTCACTGGACAGGAAAGAGCACGTGTTATGTCTTGCAGTGGGAACTTAGAGGTGGAGCAAGATACTGTTAGGTCCTTAAGGACATTGTCATTAATGATTGTCATAACATTTGCAGCTTTCTAATATGGAATCTTTATATGGAAGTTGACTTTGGGAGTAAATTCTTACAAATATGAGGGAAAATTCATAGGGTTACAGGAGAGAAGTATCTCATTTAAAGCCCTGTAGTAAATATACTGTATTTTCCAGTTTTTAGCAGAGTCAGTTGAAGAGAAAAGTCCTATCAGCTTACCTTCTGGAAGCACACCTAGAAAACAGATGAACCCAGCACTGGATGTTGAATTTGATAATCTATACATTGGAAAATTTAAATGTTTATCAACTGGTCCTGCTAGGGTAAGTTGTTCTTGTATGGTGATATATAGAGAATATTTAAAAACTCTGGTTAAGCAAAGCTAGTGGTACTTAGTGTGGAAGCATTGAGTTTTTGTTATTGTCACATCAAATTGCTGTAGCTAAATGATGGAGTGTGTAGTCCCTTAGCTTG